ATTCCTAAAATTTACCAAAAATAATTGAATACGAATTTAGTTATGTTAATGTATTTCTCTTAATTATTTGTCATTCTTAACAAAAATAATTAACCTTACAATTACAATTACCCAACCAAATGTAGAAATGTTGCCAATTATAGTCATTGCATATCATCTATATTTAGCAATAAATTCCATCAACTCCCTCTTTATATATACTAGTACAGTACCCGTACGATGCACGAGAGATTATTATCTCCGTCTCTTTTAAAAAGCAAGTTTAAGTAAAAATTCAAAAGTACTTACTAAAAGAAAGATCAAGTCATTCATAATTAATCAATAGATAAATATAATGAAAATAAAAATCTATATATTACTGAACATTGACTTATATACAACGTTCATGGTTTGATTCTTTGGCACGTCATCATTGCCACAAATTAGAATTTTCAAACCATTTATATTTGTAACACGAGAGACAACAACATACAACTGGCCCAGACCATGCAATTCTTTATGGTTCCCCTACACAATGTCCAAGAGGTTTTTAAACGACATATTACGAGATGGGAAAATAAATTCTAAACATTAATATTTTAATTTTTTTTATGTATTACGTGAGTAAAACATTAAAATCGAAATATAATAGAAAAAAATCATATAAAAACATTAGAATATAAAATATGAATATATTTTGCTAAAGATTCTTACTCCAATTCATTATAGAGAATACAATCATTTGGGTAGGAACTCCCTCGACAAACTTCATTCGAATAGGTTGTACTGAAACAACTAATCCAATAACATCTACGAAAATGTAAGACACTGCATCATATTGAAATGCATAATGTATAATATAGTTTATTAAATATTTTAACTTAAAAAAACCAAAATAAGAAATAAACAAAAAATTTTAACATACCAAACAACATGACTTCATCAATATTATGAACATCCATTAAAGTTAGAAAGTTCCTAATGTCAACATGATAAATAGAAAATTCACCCCTCCACTTGAAAATGTTGGTTTGGCCATTGATAATGATCCTCCAATTACCTATCGTCGATTTATAAAACAATATTGTTAGATAACCATGATTACTCTAAAATCCAATGTCATTTTGAATGTCTACGAAAAAACTGGTAAAAATGTATATTTTGTGGGATGTATTGGTTGTAGAATATTTTTGGTTCAATGTTGGTGATGGTTATACAAACATTTGTTATGTGACATATGCCCCGCGCGAAAATTTAAAAATTAATTTACGTCAGGTTTCTAAGTTGAGTAGAATTTATTTTCCTAAATAACGTGAATACGATCGACTTAAAAAAA